CAAGATAATGCATGTGGGTTATCATAATTTGAATTATTAGCATAATTTGGATGTTAATAACCTTAACTATGGGATGTTGGTCAGGGATTTTAGTGTAATAGTTGATAAGTCTCTGAAGCGTGCTGTTGCTAGTGGTAGGGCAAATAGGATTTTAGGTTGTATCTACAGAAATGTTGAACACAAGTCTAAAGAGGTTATAATTTCATTGTACAGGTTACTGGTTAGGCCACATTTGAAATATTGTGTTCAGTCTTGGGCTCCTTATCTCAGACTTAGTTGTTTAAAAAAGGTTCAGAGAAGGGTTACTAGAATGGTTCCTGGGATGGAGGGGTTGTCATACGAGGATAGGTTGAAACCTCTCAAATTGTTTTCTTTTGAAAAAAGAAGAGTTAAGAGATCTGATTGAGGTGTTTAAGATTGTAAAAGGAATTGATAGTGTGTAGAATTATAAATGGACTTTATAAAAGTCCATGTATAATTCTACATATTAATTTACCCACGTTATGAATTTTAAACAGGAACTGATAGTGTTGATGCATCATCTTTTTTCACACCTTATAATGAGAATAGTAGGACTGGGGGACACAAGTACAAATTTTGGCAAGGTAGGAGTCGTCTTCAGCTAAAACAGTTTTATTTTTGTAACAGGGTGGTTGGCCTTTGGAATGGCTTGCCTTCAGATGTTGTGTAGGCAATAAATATAAGTGAGTTTAAGAAAACGCTTGATAAGTATACGAACGATAAGGGGGGCTGGCTTTAAGATTTCTTTTTAAAACTTATTTATTAACAGTTTTAGTTTATATTAGAAGATGGAATAGTCAAGATAGACCAATATGTCCCATGTTGTCCCAAAACATTATGAATGTATGAAAATTCAAAAATTTATCACTCATTTAGTATTTTACCAAAAAAAGAAACATCTAAGCCTAAAAAAACAAGTCTGTATATTCATGCTGAATATAGACATAATACTTATGACATATTGTGTTGTTGATTCCACATAAATGACATTGTATTACTCTACAAATAAAAATAACACATTTTACTTTTTATATTTTTATTGAAACATCATGTGCAGTAGGAATGGCTATAAAACAATGAAATTAATGGACACCTTTACCCTAGCATGACAAGTACACCGAGATGAATCAAGTAAAGTACAACAAGTTTCTCATCTCTTTAAAGGGTAAACAACTTTCAGTTCTCTAACAATATAGGTTACAGAAAGTAGCTTTCAATCAATATTTTACGATCTTTCAACAACAAAGATACTTTTAATCTCCAGTCTTTTGTGGAATTCATGATAATTTAAGTACAAGTTGTTTATACATCCAGATTATTTTATAATCAAACATGTTTAAAAATATAAAGCTTATTCATGTTATTAATAGAATGATACAAAAATCTTAAAAAAAACTATTTTCTACAAAACAAAGACACCCCATTTGTGGTTCACTTCTACAAACACAAATATGTGGAACATTCAACAAATAATTATATGCTTTACTTTGAGTATATAAAACTGAAAAGCTGAATACAATAAAATAATGCGTATATCACATATAGTTATAACTATAATATATCACATACAGATATATTATAGTTATATCTGTATGTGATATATGGTAAAAATAAATTTAACTTTTTTCCAAAACTATTATTTTAATAAGGGTTGTGTACGTTTGATGTTCACACTGCTTTTACCCTTAGAACAGAATTTAAAAAAAAAGTAAACAATATTCGTGTATATATATTTGAAATGAATGCATTAGATTAAGTCCCCTGGTGGAAAATGGTAGGTTTACAGACTTACAATGCTAAAATCTGTGGTTCGATTCCCCACTATGGACAGAGAAGATAGCAAAATGTAGCTTTGTTCTAACACTAACAATGTTGGCAGGTGTAGATAAACATGGTATTTGCATCAGTAGACAAGATAATTAATAACAGAGTATAAATATGTGAAAACAAAAATCTGCTGAATATTTGAGCTACTTCCAAAACTCACGGGGGCACACAAAGTGTAATTAACATACATACTTGGTTAATCAAACAATAAAAAACATTAACGTACATATCGATACCTGGTTAATCAAACAACATAAAACATTTACGTACATATCGATACCTAGTTAATCAAACAACATAAAACATTTACGTACATATCGATACCTAGTTAGTCATACAACAGAAAACATTAACGTACATATCGATACCTGGTTAATCAAACAACATAAAACATTAACGTACATATCGATACCTAGTTAGTCAAACAACAGAAAACATTAACGTACATATCGATACTTGGTTAATCAAACATTAACGTACATATCGATACTTGGTTAATCAAACATTAACGTACATATCGATACTTGGTTAATCAAACAACAGAAAACACTAACGTACATATCGATACCTAGTTAGTCATACAACAGAAAACATTAACATACATATTGATACCTAGTTAGTCATACAACAGAAAACATTAACGTACATATCGATACTTGGTTAATCAAACAATAAAAAACATTAACGTACATATCGATACTTGGTTAATCAAACAACAGAAAACACTAACGTACATATCGATACCTAGTTAGTCATACAACAGAAAACATTAACGTACATATGTATACCTAGTTAGTCATACAACAGAAAACATTAACGTACATATCGATACCTAGTTAGTCATACAACAGAAAACATTAACGTACATATGTATACCTAGTTAGTCATACAACAGAAAACATTAACGTACATATGTATACCTAGTTAGTCATACAACAGAAAACATTAACGTACATATCGATACCTAGTTAGTCATACAACAGAAAACATTAACGTACATATGTATACCTAGTTAGTC